ATATGTGCCAAATATTTAAGACATTTGAACAAAATGGCAATTGTTGGGCCATAAAGAAATATATTGATTGAATGATGTAAAACATGTCAATGATAACATGACTATAAATAGAGATAAACTCCTTGAGTGATGTAAGCCAATTTTTTTATTTGATGTCGGCGCTTCTTTCGTTATTCACTCTGTCTGAAACCCTAATCCTTAATCCAATCTTACGACAAACTCGGCGAGATTCAATACAAAATAAATGTTTTACCGGAGATTTTCTCCCAGTAAAGGCTTAAAAAAAATCGAGAAATGTTGTTTTTGTAGCCAACAGTAGTGATCGAAAAATAAATATTCGTCCCGATTTCTTAATTTGTGTTGCTAAATATTAACAGGTCGGTCAAAATTGGGCGATAATATTACAAATCTATGAAGAGATGAATTTTTTTTGTTAAACATAGTTTTTATTTTTATTATTTTCAATGACCTGTGTCGTTTTTCGAAATTCTTTTTGAATAAGCTTCAAAGATATATCATATTTTATACATAATTCGAAATTATCTAGATGTTTTCGATATTGTTTTTCGAAGAGAACATGACATTGGTTGAACATTTTTAAACTTTTATGTATTTTGTTCAGGGTTTGAAAAATAGGTAAGTTTCTAACAGATCTGTTTAGCTCTACTAACAAATGTATATGTAAGTTTATAACATATCTGTTCATATATGTTTATAACATACATATGTAACTTTTATGTATTTTGTTCAGATTTTGAACACTAAATAGTTCAATTCTTTCTCATCTTTCTCATCATATCAATAATTGAAGCTTTGCTAACACTTGTTCAAAATCGCTTTTCGAAGTTGTTCAAAGTCTTTTGCCGAAGTTTTTCAAAGTTTTTAGTATTTTGTTCAAAATTTGGAAATATTAGGTAAGTTTATAACAAATTTGTTTACATATATTTATCGCATATTAGGAATTTATTGTTTAATGTTTAAAAGAATATGTAGGAATTTTTATTTTTAAAACTTTTACGCAAAAACGTAAAGGCATATGTCTTAGAAAAGTTGAATGTGTTGATAATGATAGGGAAATCAAATTATTTTTTTTTTCTATATTGTATAATGTCCAATAATGTTCCATATAATTTGTTGTGTTTTTAATTTTGATTTTTTTCATAGATTTGACCTTTTTTGTTGATTATTAATTATGCTTGACATTTCTATATTATACAACAATCTGTCATTACATACAATGTCTTGTCAATCCTCATTCTTTGACTTTGCCAATTTCCGTTTAATATGACCTTTCTGTTGCTGAAAGTATGGTTTTAATGCCTTAAAATATTGATGTTTTGGATATATTTTGATGCTATAATCATGCAGAAATTTGCCCCGCCACTTATTTAATGAAAATTAATCATATTTATATTTATAATTGTGAATTTTTTTTTCACTGCCAACAGTTTTTTTTAATGAAAAATATGAGACAATTTATTCAGCACACTTTTTAATTAATAAAACAGAATGTTGATTGCGATAATCAAATTTGCAGAAATCATGCATTTTATTGAATAGTAGTAATATAAACTATTTTATTATTACTACCAAATGGAAAGTCAAAGATAGTTAATTTTTCACTATTTCTTATGATCATATGATTTTTTTTTATACATATGTTTTTTCAATAAACTTTTTAAATGGTAATATTGACAATATAGACTTTGCTATAATATTTATATAGACTGTTAATTTTTTTATTTACTTCATTAACTTTTTTTTATTAATTCATCTTATTATGCGTATAGTCTAACTTTATAATTTATATGTCATTTAAATGTATCTATACTACTAATTTATAAGGTTTTACCATTTGGGGGAGCTAAATTTTTAATTTAATTTTCAATCGCCTCGGCTTTCAATCTGTCCGCATTTGAGTTGTAATTTTTTATTTTGTTTTAGTTCATCTTGTACGAACTGAACACTTCAATCAGTTCATAGGTTCCCGTTGTAATTCAAAACACACTTTGTATATATATATTTCTTTAGTTTCTTTGCTTGTTTGTTAAATTGACTTCAAATAGGGATTATTAATTCATTTCGAGCAGTTTGATATTTTTTAAACGAGCTTCAGTTGAAGATTGTATCTTGTAAAAAATGAGCATTATTAAGATGTATGATATATGTACTTGCTTTTGTCTAGAATACTTGTCTTAATAATTTGATTAAACAAATAGAGTGATTGGGTGTTTTGTTTTATACTTGGAGGGTAAGGCAGGTTGGAGCCTTTTCGAAAAAAAAAAAAAAAAATTCAACACATTCTTAATTTTTCTTCTCATATATTTTTTTCTGCCCTATTGATCTGATTCAAGATCAGGTACGAATTTTTTTAAAAAAAAATTATATTATGATTCTCACACTCATAAAAAGCTCTAATGTTTTACTTTTTTTAGCATGTTTTTTTAATTTTTGAATTGTTTTCTCGTGGGTTTGGTTAACGCAGGAACCATTAGAAGCCTCTCAGGATTTGTCTTAGTCAAATCGTTACTATAAGAAGGTAATAAAAAAAATAAAACAAAGCTTACTGCATTTCAAGTTTGATGCAGTCCATTTTATTCGTCAATAACTATTTATTTTGAGCACTGGATGATTTATTTTTTTATTATTGTTGAGATTCTGGATTCTTTTGTTTCTCAGTGTTGCATTTTGATACGAACGGTGTGATTTTTTCGGTTTGCAGGGATGGCAGAACATTGCTTTTCTTGTTTCCGCATCTGGTTTCTCAATGAGGGATGTCCAAAGTGTTGTTAATTGTATGGTGATTTATCAGTGTTGATGTCCAAAATGTTGTTACTCCTTTTGGTGGTTTGTTACATTTTTTATTATTGATTTTCGGCTTCTATCTTATATTTTAAAGTTCTAAACAGGCTTATGGTATTGTAGATTCTTATATTTGTAGTCAATGTATGTTAGATGAAGGAATTTCACACATAATTTGTGAGTTGTTGTTCTGTGTGCTCTGATGTATATAAATATAAGGAGAAAAGTGAAAAAAAAATTTATTCATGTAATTAATACAAGATTAACTAAGCCAAAGCCACAAAGAAATAAATAAATAAATCAATAAATAAAATAAAAATAAAGAGAGAATAAAATGTATCAAGTAGCATGATGATCCCCATGTACATCCCATAAGTGGTTGATTAGATCGACTTTCAAATCTTTGTGTATCCTTTTATCTTGAACTTGCTTCATTCGACTAACCATCCTTGACACAAGCAACGTGAAATCACGCTCTAAGAGTAACATTATTATTTGATTCATCTCTAAGCGGCTGCCAATTCTCGGGATTTATGCCTTGACTTTGTTCACTTTCAATGATCATGTTGTGCAAAATGATACAAGTTTTCATTATCTTTCCAAGAACTTTCGAACTCCAAAAACACGCAAGACCTTTAACATTATGCCACCGAGCTTGTAGCACACCAAATGCTCGCTCCACGTCTTTTTATACAGATTCATGTTGTTTAGCAAATAATTTTTTCTTAGCAGAAGTAGGTTGAGATATAGTTTGAATTAATGTGGCGTATTGTGGGTAAATCCCGTCCGACAGATAATATCCCATCCTATAGTGATGAGTGATGACCTTGTACTACAAACTCACATGATGGTGCAACTTCATTCACGAGATCATCAAACAACGAAGATCTATCTAAAACATTTATATTGTTGTTACTGTCGGCCATGCCAAAAAACGCATGCCAAATCCATAAACTCTGTGAAGCCACAACCTCTAAAATGAGTGCAGGAACTTTTTTGAAGCCATTAGTATGTGTACCATGCCAAGCAGTAGGACAATTTTTCCAATGCTAATGCATACAATCTAGACTACCAAGCATACCTGGAAATCCTCGAGCCTCGCTTTCTTCTAGTAACATTTGGATGTTAACTCCACAGGGTTTTCTTAGATATTGTTCCTCAAAAACTTTGATTATCACGTCACAAAAATGCTTAAGGCTTTCAATGGCAGTGCTCTCTCATATTTGAATATATTCGTCCAGAATATCAGCAGGACAACCATATGCGAGCATGCGTATTGCCACTATCATTTTTCTTGACCTTGTGCCAAAAAGAATCAAGTTTTTGATTTTTGTTTGAGTTGGTGTTGTCGATTTGTTGTTCTGTGGTGTTTTGTTTGATCTGGGCCTTTGTGGGTTTTGTGGGTTGTTTGGGGCATATGTTGTTGCTTCTTATAAACACACACCCATGTGGGTGTGTGTGGGTGTGTGTGATTCAACTGTAAAAAAAAAAATGAGTGAGGCTTATAAAGGAGGCAACTTTATTGACACCCCCAAAATTGTTTTGTTTTGGGACAGATTTACATGTACAGATGAGGCATTTTGCAACTAGCCATGAAGTTTTGATGCATAGCTCTTGAGACGATAAGTTTTCGTATATTTAGTACAAACACAAGTAAATTTGCAGTAAATGGTGTGTATTAATCAAGGTTGTAATGGAATTATTAAATCACATTACACGATTACTTACTATAAATAAAAGATAAATTTAGGATATTTTACACATTCTGAATACTATAAATAAAAGATAAATTTAGGATATTTAAGATAAATTTAGTATATTTAGTACAAAAATATTGTTTGATAATATTTAGTACTATAAAACAAGGGTGTTAAACAAGTATATTATTATACTATACCAATTAAAAACATTAATACACTACACAATCAAAATTAATATATGATTAAAGATTATAATATCTGTATAGTATATAGGAAATATAAATACCAACAATTATAGTGAAATTTCAATTTCTGGAAATGACTTGATCAAAAACAAGGTCAGCACAATATATTACAAGCCTTGCTAGCTTAGCAAAATCCTACTGAGTTCACTTTCAAGTACCGAGAAGAATAATAATAATAATAATAATCTGACCCCTAAAACACAGCTGCTCAAATAGAAAGAACAGTCTAAAGAACTCAACTACATTTGCAACTCTACTTAGAATTAGATACTTTCAACTTGGCAATTTCTTCAAGCAAATACTTAGATTCAGCTGCAAAATCGACTGGTGCGACGAACCTGATTGTTATCCTCTGCTTCTTCTCGTTGTTGTACTCGTGAGGAGTCACACTAACTCGGAATAGATGCGGGACCCACATAGCATCCTTCAGTTTCATCTGGTAAGAACTATCTCCATCCTAAATTGGACAGTCAATCAACAAAAGAAATTAGAAAATAAGAAGGGAAAAAAAATAAGCATTTTTTTTATAATTTCCAATGCTAATTCAAAACCTGAGCTCTCATTTCATTAAGCTCATCAGCCGAGCATCCAATGATTTTCTCAGCTTGCTCATTGAAAACCGAGAGATAAGCTTCGCCACTTGCATCAGAAACTCTAACAACCATTACGTATCTGTTAACAGAATAAAGGACAGATTTCGGTATTACATTCATGAAGGGGAACTCAAATTAATACACGGTCAAGAGCAAATATGGAGATAGTTTTTCGAAAGTTATGAACCTCAAACTGCAATCATCCTCATTCTTTTGGCACCCTTCACACCAGTAGCCAGACCCAACAGCTTCAGTAACTTTCTTATTGCAAGTCTTGCAAGCTCGGTACCACATTGCCTGATCTTGTTTGATGTAGCTAATGTATGCTTTAATGCAGAAAAACACGGGCTGCAAATGATAAATAAAAAATTATATATATGTCAGCAACAATGATTTCACAAAGAAGGCACTAATGTTAGAAACTTAGAACACTATATAAGAAAAAAATAAATGCTTTCAAAAGGCATTTTACAGTACCTTATCTTCTCCCAAAGATGGGTTACTAGTGATATGAGCAAGGGAGACCCTATCAGAGTACATAGATCTTGCTCCACCTTTTGCCGATGGGCTTAAGCCATCACCAACAGAAGCCAAGTTAGTGTCTTTTCCTTCAGAGTCGTACCTGAAGTAAAATTACAAGCAAAGTAAAGAAATTACGTCTGTTGAACGCAAGTGGAAAATTTTAAAAAAAATAAAAAAAAAAAATTATAGATTAATGTAAGCTATTTCATACCAAGATCTCAACTTTTTGGCCTCTGGGGTTTCGGGGTTGACTACTACGATACTTTTGCTCACTGCTGATAATGATACGCCTGAATTGACAAAAGTGAGAAAATACTTCAGGTTCATATCAATTGCATAATGCATCGTTTATTATGCAAGTAACATGAAAATTTCACCATACCTTGAAAATCACCAACTTTAAGAGACTTAATTGCAACCACAGGAGATTTATCAGACATATCCAGCAGTTCTTGTCCAACATTAGTGGCATTATCGCCCCATAAGGACACCACAACAGTTTTCTTCCTGCAAGTCAAAATGAGTTACAAAATAAGTTTTAACAAGTACAAATCAAAAACAAAATACAAAAAAGTTAATGCAATTCATGAGACATACGTCTCATCAGCTATGGTTACGTCACGCTTTGGAACAGTCTCATTGTTGCTCTTCCTTCTAATACTCATTGTAGGAGATACACTCTGAACTACCCCAATAACATCTTTGAAAGACAACCCAAAAGAAAAAAATTAGTAAGAAAATAAAATAATCATGTTGATAAAAGGATAGCACATTTGATTATTGAGACCCTTACCAACGAGCTCCCTTCCATTAATATATGGGCCAAGTTCATCAATAGGGACAAAATTGAATTTAGTTTCAGGAACAAAAGTCCGCTCGGTCTCGATTTCCTCCACAATTGAATTCTCATTCAAGGTCATCTCATAATCATTCTGCACTGTCCTATACTGTTTGTTTGCAACTTTTAAAGTACCCTTTGATATGTAGTACACCTTCCCCATCTGGAACTTATCAAAGAACTTCCTTGCAGCCTCATTAAACATTGTTGCTTGTATTTGAGTGCCCTAACACCATAACAAATATTATGAAACCTCAGTCACAATGTAAAAAAAGTAATTAACTTCAATAAAATTCTGACACTCAAAATTTAATGATTGACCCACATCTTCATCAGTCAACTCCACATTAAACACACAGCCTTCGCCTCTCGCATTCTTGTAGGATCGCATATTTCCTTTGCTAGTCACCCAAACTTTAATTGTCCAGTTTCCTTGGTATGGGTTTAAGGAAACAAGTGGATAGATCCTTCTTGTCATTGACATTCGTCCAGAAGGTGCCATACTGAGATTAAATCAAAGTTTTAAGTACAAATCCGTAAATAGATATACAATTGTGATTCATACAAGTTTACTCTTGTGTGTTATACTTTGGATGTGTGTTTGTGTGTAAAAATTCATAACATCTTTACTTGATGACTTAGAAAACAATAATAGCTAGTGTGCCATACTGAGATTAAATCAAAGTTTAAGCACAAACCCATAAATAGATATACAATTGTGATTCATACAAGTCTATTCTTATGTGTTATACTTTGGGGTGTGTGTTTGTGTGTGAAAGTTCATAGCATCTTTTACTTGATGACCTGTAAAACAATAATAGCTCGTGCGGGGGGGCAAAAACACTCGAAAGTGCACTTACTTTCCATGCTGTTCATGAACTATCTGTGCAGCAGATTTAGCCATGACTTGTTCCTTCGGCTTCAACATAACACCATTAGCTTCACTTTTAACTACACTATTCCCATTAGCTTCACTTTTAACTACACTATTCTGCTCTGGACTTGAAACAAGCCCATTATCTGCCTTGCATTCTGCCTCAAGTGCTGGTGACACCACCTCACATTTTGATACAATCAGGAACCTAAAGTAAAATACAGTTCTGATCAGATGAAACCTCAATATTGATCAGCACATACCAACAAAAAAAAAAAGGAATGAACTACTAAGCAGAATCAATCAGCAAGAAATTATTTACTTCTCATTCTTGGTTGGGATGTCATTGAGAGTGTAGTCGAGAACACGAATAAGCCCCAGATTCTGGATGCTTCCAGATGTTACTTGTGATGACAGAGAAGATTGTAACAGAGCTCTCACCTTCATTTTCCCATCATTCGCCATGAACCTGTGATGATTGAACAAAACATTTCAAATCAAAGACACTGAAATGTTTTATCCTTGATTATAAGTTAATTTACTATTATTCTTTTCTCTCACTAAACAAAATATCAGAGCCATTTCAAAAAAAAAAATGGTCAGTCATTTCTGGATCAATAGATCACACACTCGCTAATCTTTACGCAGCTAGTGAAATAAATATCACCATTTCAAGTAGAACAAAAAAAAATTGCAATCACCTATATTTATCACTTGAACACCCCCACATATCTAATCTCTCGGTACATATAAAAACAAAAATTGTAGCACACAAAACAAATCACAGATTTTTAAGTAACAAACGATTCTACTACCTCAAAAGCCAGATCTTGTCTTCAAGATCACATTAAAATACACACTAAATAATTCTCAAACTGATACAAACAGAACCTATCTACCTAATATAGCTAAAGGCACCATCTTTATCTTCATATGTGGGACTCATTTAAATGTTCAGTTGTGAATTTATAACATATAAAAAATAAAAGGGATCAAATCAAACACTCACATGTACTTGGTACCGGTCGGTTTCAGATCGACGACTTGCACAACAATCTCCGGCAAATTTGACGAAGAATCGGGACATGGGTTGGCCAGAATAATCGACACCGCATCTGGGCTCACTGTTTTCGACATATCCCACCTACAGATTCGATACTTCTCTGTAAATCACGTTACAAAGAAACCCAAAAATGGATGCGATGCTAAAATCCGGATTTTTGCTACCACTAACGGTGAAGAATCAAGAATGAGATAATTAGTGAATGGGAAATGGGGGGATTTTTGTATAGGGTGAAAATGCGCGGGCAAGATTTTGGAGGGCTTTTTGGAAGCTCGTTCGAATTGAGGCGGGAATTTCATTCACCATTTTTGGGGAGTTTGGGATTTTTGCAGATGTTATGTTTTGGCGGCGTGTTTTGCCCGTGATTTGTTTTTCGCATGTACTCAAAGTGGCGCCAAATATTTCACATCCCCAAAATTTTGGTGGATTTTAGGAGTTGAATGAACTCCTAAAATTGTTAGGTCTTACTATTATTGATGATCATACTATGTTGGCTTGTCAAAATGAGTATGGCCGGTACCGATACCGGGCCGGGCCGGTACCGGGTCACGGGTCGGGCCACGGACCGGGTCGGCCCGTGGCCATGTCTAATTGATGATCATACTATGTTGGCTTGTCAAAACGAGTATGGCCCCGCGGGTCAAACAATCACACCCCTGCTTATTAGGGCATCCACATCGCGTTTATTCTGATGTCGTTTAAACGGAGAGGAGAGGCGTTAATGAGATGCAGCCCATTCATTTAAGGTGGAATTCCCCTCAGTCCTTCTTTACTTTGAATGACATTAACTTCTTTTCTTTTTCTTTTTTCCTTTTTTTTTTACTTTTGTTTGGTTTTAAATGTTATTTTAATGCCAATTATTTTTATTTATCAAAATTATTCACTTTTTTTTTCTTATTATTATCCAAATTATACTTCTCAAATATATATATCAATGATTTATATTATTTTTTCTTTTATTCTTTTTGTGCCAATAAATGTACTGTAGTGTTTTGCACAAATAAAATTTAGCAATTACTCAATTGCTTAAAAAATGAATCTCAATAATAGGAAAAATTGTTAAAAAAATTCAAGATTATGTTCGTAGAAGTTCCGAGATACGAAATAATACAATACATCACCAACTTCGTATAGACTTAGTTGAACATACTTGGATTCATTTTGCTATGAACGATTTTTTTTTATGTTTTACTTTTTTTCCATTTGTAATCTTAGTTTATGTATTTTTTTAATCTAATAATAATTAGTGTATTTTCGTCATTTAAAATTTATTATTCTAATTTAAAAATACTTTAGTTTTATTAAGAATAGAATATAAAAGTAGTATTGAATAAGTGGGTAATCGGTCCCATATGTTTTTATTTAAATGAATGAATGAATGTGAGTGTGTTTAAATGGATAGATGTTTAGTGAAAAGATGATGTAGATGAAAGAGAGTGTAAATTGTGATTAAATTAATGTTAAGGGATGTGGATCCCCTTTTAGAGAGGTTGGGTTGTTATTTTAAAAGCACGCAAAAAAGAGTCTAAACGGGTTGCCTTGCATGGGGCGCCAGTTTGGCGGGTCGAGCTAGCCCGCCATTTAAAAGAAACGTTTTAAATTTTTACAATTACATGATTTTTAGACAACTCCACACAAATCACAATCTCAGAAAATCCCAAACATAACACTGAAAGTTTGAAAGACTGAAACTCCAGTTCCTCCAACTGCTCGAACAAATCAAGGGTGCTCTTAAAAATTGAATTTTGCGATACAACAGACTCAATCTTCCAAAACAAGAGGAGCTTTTTCACATGCGCAAAGCAAGGAAGTCAGTAGTCAGAGCTCGACTTGTTAAGAAACTAATAGTTCGGCTCGTTCAGGGCTCGAACTCGAGTTTTAACAACCCGAGCCTAGCCAAGCACATTTAATTTAACATCACTAGCCGGGAGTGTACAATTAAAAACAAAAAAAACACACCTATAGTGTACAATATAAGAAAAACTATAATCTTGAAGAAGAAAAAAGAAAAAAAAGGGGTTGTGGCGTGATGAATTCATGATTTTCTAGAGCAAATTTCAATAGTGGTTTCTACCCAAAACTACTCCTAGTTTTTGTGCCTAGTTATTATTATTATTATTATTATTTTATTAATTCGGCAAGGTTGAGTTGGGCTACCCTTTCACAGGCCTACCGAGATGGCGCGCCTGTGCAGGCTACAGGCCAGCCCGCCCCACCAGCCATTTTGCAAGTCTAATACTACATGAGGAATAACATAAATTTTGACACAATGTCCCATGTCAACGGCCATTTTGCAAGTCTAATACTACATTAGGAATAACATAAATTTTGACATAATGTCCCATGTCATGACACTTTAAAATCCAATAACTATTAAACATACACATCATATGGGTAGATTAATCCTTCATAATAATACTACCGAGCCACAATCATAGACTTTGAATGTTAGGAAATGTGACAACTTCTACGTCCAATTGCAAATCACAACTACCTCGCAATAATAGCTAACACAATACTAATAGGGAACAAAATCTACCATAGTAATATTACGTAAAATGATGATGTCGAGCACAACAAATAAAAGCAACATACTCCACCAAAGACGAAACAAACATTAAATTATCCATTCAAGAGTACATAATCCAATGTAGAGAAACAAAACCGAGTTTTGCTAATTGAAATTAAAATTCCATATAATATTTGGCAGGAATAACAAGGGGCACTGACAGAATAATTCCCGGCAAGTCTGCAACAAAGGAGAAACAAACAAGTCCCTATTTAAAAAGACGCTTAGAAAAGAGAAGTTCCCTTGCCCTTCTTATCTCCACCAATCTCGAAATGCTTGCACCTCTGCAAAACCAAAACACAGCACAACTAAATATACTTTGCAACAACCATAGACGAAACATTATCAGGAAAAAATTTAACTCAAACAATAAAAAACATCAAACAACATACCTTGATAGGATGCTGTGAAACATGCTTGCAACCTTGGCATTGCAATCTCAGCACAATCTTCTTAGTTGTTTTTGCCTAATCAAGAAAAAAAAAAAATACACAAGAAAATGAAGTTAAGAAACACATCCGAAAATATCCACAATATTCAAACAGCGTTATAGTTATCAGAGCCTGGCACTATCCCACGGTGAAGTAAAAGGCATTAAAATGTCATTTCATTTGGGTGGAAAAAAATACCTTCTTGTGAAAAACGGGTTTTGTCTGTCCACCATAACCCGACTGCTTGCGATCATAACGGCGCTTACCCTGAGCTGCCAAGCTATCTTTGCCCTTCTTGTACTGAGTCACCTTGTGCAATGTGTGCTTCTTGCACTGTTTTGATTTGCAGAAAGTCTTCTTTGTCTTGGGAACGTTCACCTGCAAACACAAAGCAAAAAAAAAATCAATCGGCTAAAATGCACAATTCAACACTAACAGCATTACAGGATGAAGACTTATCCATTTTGAAGAGTTGATGCTATACATCAACAGTAAGCAACTGACCCATTTATGGATATGTCCACAAAAGTAGGCAAGAGATACAGATCAACGAACCCCAAGGAAACCCATCGTACAGTGGCTCACAAGAAAGTTACCCTTTCAAATGGCTACTTTGCCCCTCACCAAGCACTACCACCTAAAACTCAATTTTCACAACAACAACGCCCAATTCATTTTACATCAATTGTAATATTCAAGTTCATTGTTGACAATTCTCCTGGCATAGTGCTAAAAATGGACTAGATCAAAATGACTTAAGTTAATTTTCTAGTGCTTCTTCTATTAGTGAACTTTCTAGAAAAAAAAAAATATATATATATATATATCAAACGACGCAATGCACCTTGAGTCGATACGGAAACAGCCTCCTTGTATAATTACAAGGGTAAAGTCTGCGTACAACTGACCCCCAACCAGTTGGGACTATACTGGGTATGTTGTTGTAATATTTAAGTTCACCATTACTATTACTACTCACAAAAAAAAACTATACTTTCATATGGCTCATCTGACCCCCACTAGGATTCTCAAAAAAAGCTCAAGATTCTCAACACACTGTTCATTTTACACACACTGTCGCATCCAGAATTGAACATATAATGACCAATTTCCGCACCTCAGTTGATCAAATTCCAATCTTTTCACCACCCCCAAACCAAAAATCCATCGCAGTGCAATTAACGCAAAGTTATGCAACAACACAAAACAATATACAGCAATCTACACTTCTACAGCTAAAAATGCTAAGCTAACAATGAGTTTCACAGGTTACGAGCAAATCAGTTCCAGAATCAAATGACACGCGAAGAAAATACATAAATGAGCTAAAAATATGGCAAAAAAGTAAAGCTTCTAAGAGAGAGAGAGAGACAGAGAGAGAGAAACTCTAACCATGGCTGCCGGCTGCTGAGAAAGGCCGAGCTGTGATGTTCTGCAAAACTGAAACCCTAGATAGAGTGTTAACGGTATTTATATCATCATTATTATTCGTAAGGGTTTTATGTGTGAGTAAATGTGTGGGCTCGGCCTGATTACTAGTTTGCGATTGGATATAATTCCTTGTTGGGCTTCATATTTTGGGCCTGGGATTGAAACATTTACAAAGACAAACGATCTGCTAAATTTTTATTTTTTAAATAAACTACATTGTTTACTATTTATTTTATTTTTATTTTTTTTTAGAAAATTCATTAATTTTTTTAATTATAAATATAGTAAATTTTAAACGTTAATACATTGTGATTTTTGGTAAATTGCATTATTTTTTGTTTATCACTCATTTATAGATTGATTATATATGATTTATTTTAAATGTCATATTTTTACAAAAAAAAAAAATATATATATATAATAATAATGTAAAATGGTCCTCTATATATACGTACCTATTAATAAAAGAAATGTATTTTATAAATACATGTGTCAATTTTTGGTGTTTTATAATAGTCCATATATAATTGGAATTCTAAATTAATATTTTTTAATAAACCAAATTATAAATATAATGTTTATTTGTAATTGATTTCCATTAGAAAATTATAACGGGAATTCCAACTAAAATATTAGTTTTCCAACTGAATTCCAACTGTATTTCGAGTGGCTGAAATTTCAGTTTCATTAAATATTAGTTTTCCAACTGAATTCCAACTGTATTTCGAGTTGCTCGATTATCGACGGGACGAACAACTTAATAAAAACTGCATATTGCAATTAAAATTCTTACAACAATAAATTGTTGAAAAATGTGTGTTTTTAAGTCATCAAGTTCCAACCAGAATATTAAGAAAATCTAATTCAAACATAATATTTTATTACCGGTCTCGTTGAAAAAAATCCAACCAAACCTGTAACATTTGAATATATTCTTATACAGTGATATTTCTTATACTCTTACATCAAATCAACTTTAATTATCATTTTCAAAATATTATGTAATATAAAATCAAAATAACACTAACAATTAATCATACCATATTTTTTCAGATTAACCTTGGTTAACCAACAAAATCTATTTTAAGCGGGAACTTTTGTATCCAAGCACGCCCTTAATATGTAGGAGAAGGGTCTCCTTAAACTGTTTCATGTCCAAAATTTTAATGGCCGACTTGAACTAGAAGAACATACAGTTAACCTCCCACATTGTATAGGTAACTAAACGGTGGTCGAAAACTATACCAGTATATATACTACTGTCAAAGCTTGTTAGTCCGTCTAACGTATCAATATCATAGACACATTCTTCTTGTAACAACGTGAAAAAAACAACTATTTACATTACCTAATCCATTTTATGTTGTTCAGAACTTGAGATGCACTGGTTCTGCAAATGCATCTTTGTTCATTGTAAGCTATTCCTCGAGGCATTTTTGAGTGATTCCCGGTCATTTGAAATCCTCTCACACGAGTTCTTGCCCGAAAATATTCTTCTGATCCTGCAAATCCAAATCATCCAACCCAAACACAACCTAACCGAATCAACTATGTAAAGGCGAAAAAATATGCTAATACTCAGAAATGGATACTTTCTCCATTTTTCTTCAGAGGCAGAGATCAGACTGAAAGACGGGTTAAAAAAATATATATATTTTTTCTATTATGTAACATCAAAATCACCTTATCAGCAAATATATGGAATAGAGATGTAGAGGGACAACTTTCTTAGTATTCTCCATCATGAAAAGAAATTTCCATATCGAGGAAAGGAAACCACCGAGGCCGTGCAAATTCAGCATAACGGGTCGATTTTGATTCAACAATAATCATACATTTGAACAAAAATAAATACTTTTACGGATATCTATTATATATTTTTTTTTCACATACTCTTTAACATGCATTAAATAATTAAGTATAGCATTTTACATTGAAATTGCATTTTTGTTGATAAAGAACCTATATGGAGCCATTTTATAAAGAACCTATAGAAATGAACTGAGTTACTTTGTTTACAGTATATAATTTGGCACTGCTATCAGGAAAAATAAAGGGGAACTCAGAACTGTGCAGAAAACAGCTGAGAAGTTCAGAGTTATAATCGTAAATGTTAATTCTTGTCCAGTGTAAAAGCATTTTCAGCTATGAACCGGACACAATTAAGGCAAAACCAACAAACAAGCACCAAAAGAAGGGGTGCAACTATCAAATTTTTACTTTCGAGGCAACCCAAGCAATTAAAAATCTTATTATTCGGACAAAAACCGAAAAATGCCAGGACTGTAAACTAAATAGAAGAAAAATAGTTGTTAGGTTATTAAGAATGAATTTGCAAGATTACAGTCAGGTCACTAATCCGCATACAAATGAACTGGAACACATTTTCAACCCAAGAATCTTGAAATTTGCTAGTGAAAAATGTCAAAATGAAATTTCTACCAAGCTCATTTACTCGTCTATCACCTGCTTGATTTTTATACAGTAAAGTTGCAGGGCTGTTAGAGTCGCTACAACAAGAAGTTCGTAGCTGGAGAGTATTTGAAAAAAAAAAAAAAAAAAGCTTATGCAATGCAGTCATATTGAAGATTTATCAGATAAGCCATGTACACATTCCCAAACCCAACACGAAAAAATTTACTTTGCAATATTATTTTACTAGTCTAGTTGAGAAGCTAACATATCATCAAACAGAAAGAGAATAATAGTTGAAGATCATAAATTTAAAAGATCAATATCAATGGCACAATATCTAAATTTTTGAAGAGGATTGATATTGCGCAGTGAAGATCCCAACTTTCGATTTTCCTGAGAATTTATCAACTCCAGATTGAACATTGTTTTCTAACTCAAACTTAGTTTATACATCACTTTAGAATCTAAGAGTATTTGCAACTTCCCATTTGAAATTTCAAAAGTTCGGGATGGCCTTTCCTAAATGCTCCTGAGACGGTGAAAAATATACGAGGAGGGCTAGTTGCCATACCTTTCTCATACATTTTTCCTTCAACTTTCATGTGAATTTCAAAGTCTTAAACATGGCAAACAATTTCTGAAACTATTCACATTTTTTTCCTGCAACTTATATGTGCTTCATCTCTTCATTATATATTTTAAGTACTACTCTGCAATGTATCTTTTACGTTTTCTTAATTTTAGAGCCATAGTTGTGGAGTATACTTGAGTTGAATCTGAAGTCCTTGCATTTTAACATGGCCAATACAATTAACTTCACGGTTAGTTACTCAACACTCATAATAACTCAATATAATGCAAACAGAGCCTTTCTCATTCATAGGTGTCTGCACATTAATAGCAATCCATCAAACTAAATGAACAACCTCATCAACAACAGATTAAGGCACTCGATTCCTGTTACAATTTACCCAATACATAATCTGTAAAAACCATCGAGAAAAAACAGAGGCCCTCAAATTCAAACTTCTCAAATTTAAGCACGACCAGAACAAAGAAGGTCAAAAAATCGGCCCAAACAGACACTCGAAACCAAAAGTAATGAGTTGTATGTGTTTTTTAAAACATCAACAGGTTCATAGAACATTGTACGACAAAATCCTCGAGCAAAAGCCGAGTCAACAAATAAAACAACACACCTAGTAAGATGGACACAGGAAGTGCAGGCAAAGCCTTACGGTAAAACGCGAGAAGCAAAAGAGTTACTCCGAGGCCAGCTATAATCGCGAGGTAGCACGCGTAGACCGTCATGAAATCGTACATAGCCGCTCGACCAACTAACACGCTGTAGAAAATGAAGTCCCCCAATCCAAGCTTAATCGCACCAGACGAACCCAAACCAATTCCTTCAAGAACAAGATCATTGCTCGAGACACTATTCTCCACAAAATTCAAACGTACATTATCCACCACACGTTGAATAAGTGGGGCATTGAGCTCGTTCTCCACAGTCATTACCCGACCCTCCTCGACATTCACAAAATTAGTCTCGTTTTCTGAATTTCGATTTTCGCCCAAATGGCTCATTTCCTCTCTCCACACCCTTCTTCGAACCACGTCACTGGTCGGCCCATAATCGTGGATAACAGGCCGAGCCTCGTAAACCAGAGCAGGAATCTCTTCATCCCTAGATATCGCGAGCTCGACCAGGAGCCTGAGGGGCCCACCGGGCAGCAAAACAGCGGCAAGATCGTACAATGCCATGGCCACCAGAAGTACCCAAGTGGTCCATTCAGGCAAAAGGGTGAACCAGTAAGCAACCAGCACACCAATCACAACAAGGTAAGATTGAGTGACAAAAAGAGCCATTTTCGACATGAGCACGGCTAGAACACCAGTAACCGTGAAATTAAACCACAACACAGCGAAAGTAACACAATCGACCGGAAAGCTAAAATCTTGGATCAGGAAAAGGGCAATCTCAGCCCCCATGAAACCCAGGACGAGAAATGCGGAGAAACCCATGTAGTATTTCAGGAACCTGGTGCACCTGAAGTAGAACAGGAGGACCAATAGGAAAGTGACGAGCGTGACGACGACCACGAAGACGAGCGAGTTCAAAAGGGCACCTTTGAGCTTGTCCCAGATGGAGTCGGAGCTGTTCTCGGAGTAGACCACGGTGGCCATGGTGGTGATCGACGAACCGCCGCCGTCTGAGATGGATGACGCATCGCCGTTGAGAATGGACACGAGGATAACGACGGTGAGCATGCAAATCGAGACGGGTGTTATGATTCTTACGATTTCCTCGCCGCAGGTGTCGAGGATGGTTTTGGGTCGTCTTCTTGAGTTCTGGTCCATTTTTTGCAAGATCCAAAGGGGCTCGATTTCGATGGATGTGGTTGAAAATGGAGGCCAGAAATTCAGAAACCCAATCGATTGTACTTTGGTATTTGGTTCTTTAATTCGATTGGAACCCGAATCCAGCACCTTGACTATGGAAATCTTCACTGCTGTGAAGAATTAGGTCTGGACTGGAGATTGCAAGCTGGAGAATGAACTTGTTGGGAATCGCAATTTCTCAAACAGTAAGAAAAGATACTTATATCCCAAAGATTGGTTTTGGCTTCCTCCTCGAGTTCGAACTCATTTTACTCGAGTCCGAACCGAGTCGAGTTGAACTCGACTCGTTAAACAAACGAGTGAGTAAAAAGTTGAATTTGGCTTTTATCAATATCAACAAGTCCAACTAAAATCGCAACAAGTCAGGTTTTAACCTCAAAAGTTAAACTACAGAAAATCGTATTTTAGAGTCTTAACAATCTGAATTCGACTCTTTAACAAACTAAATTTTCAATGAGCTTGAGCTTAGAACATTTATCAAACGAATCGAGCTGAAATTAAGTTTTACCAAAAAACGAGTCGAGTCAAACTCACGAGCGAGTATTCGTTTAAATTTATAGTTTTTGCTTAATATTTTATCCAGAAGCATACTTGTTTTTAGAACAAAATATTGGTGTTGGACCATCGAACTGCAACTCAAATTGCTAAGAGTGTGCTTAGACATGGCCAAGGACCAACGACTCGGCACGGACTCGGCCCGGACCCGGCACGGACCCAGCCCGGTCAAACCCGTTGGCCACGGGTCCAGACCCAAACTGGATTTCCGAATGGCCATGTCAGGGTCATCCATTTCATGACCCGGCCCGACGGGTTCGGGACAGGCCGGGTCGATGACCCTTTTTTATTTTTTATTTTTATTTTTTTCTATTGTGTTTTTTAAAAAATAACGGAACCGGCCCGGACATGGACCCGGCCCGGTCAACCGGATCATTGACCCGGCACGAGTATAGGTCCGTGACGGGTCCGGGTCATTGTTTTCGAGCCCGACGACCCGGCCCGGGTTTTGGCCGTGTCTAAGCGTGCTTGGATACAAATATATCTGCTCAAAACAATTTTAATGTAAAAGTAGTAAATATATGATGTCAATTGATAATTAGTTAAATTTATGTGAGTATATGTATTGTGAAATAAAGTTGATGTGACGTGTAATAATGATTGATGAAAGATATTTAATTATAATGATGATACTAAAGATGTTATTTAAGTATGAATTAATAATACATCACGCCCTAAACCAGTAGATGTCGCACATTCGATAATAATTATCGTACAACTATTAAAGCAAATTAAACTGTTCACTAACACAATTCGGTTTGACTCGTGAAAGCTCAAGCTACGTAGAGCTTGTTCGTTAACATAAACAACTTGAGCTCGGACAACCAATCAAATTCATTTACTAAGCATGTTGTGCTAAATTTATTTGCGAACACTCTATTTATATTTTTACGATTTTTTAAAAAACATTAAAGTCAACGTGTTCGGCAGGGAATATATGGGCCGCAATTGGATATGAGTCATAACCGATTTTAATCGTTTTTCATATGTTAGTTTATACTAATCAAAATCTAACAATCTCTCATTTTTTATTTTTTTTTTATATCAGTATAATTAAATAATACTAATCACTCATCATCACAAATCTCATTGAATTTATAATTCATCTATCAAATAATTTTAACCGCATCTCATTTCAAATCACTTATAATATAATGTGTTTTCCATGATATGTTTTAATTTATTATTAGTTTTAATAGATATCGCAATCCATGGTTCTCGAGTTTTCTACTTGCAAGTTATGAATGCTCTGCCCTGATTTCATCAACGGCTGAAAACTCACAAGGCGAATCCAACGGCCTATCATTAACCGAACATTTCCCTTTATAAAAAAAAAACTGTTCATTTATCCCCGTCTATAGAAACCCTTGTCGACCCTCTCTGTAGGGTTTTACAGTCCCAAGTCCCCATTTTCAGTTCACAGAGCTGAAGAACAGCTTAAACCAGCTCATCGATAAGGTATACACTTTTATCCTTTTAACCCATCAACACAGTCTTGCATCAGCTATCGTTGGCTTGTATCTGTGTAGTTTCAGTTGTCTTCATACGCTTCGTTTGTTTTTTTTTTATCGTTTTTTTTGGGCTCTTTTGTCCATTTTTGAGGGTGTTTTTGATGATGTTTTTCCTATCTTGAAATGGGTTTTCGTTTTTCTCCAGTGTGATTGTTGGCTTATATCTAAAGACAAGTACTTTTATCGGTCGTTATAACCCTTTATAGCCCGTCTTCTCCCAATTATTTACTGTTTATTTTGATTTATTAAGTTAACACCAGAGTGATTATTGGCTTTCTTGTCAAGATTTGTGCTTTCGTTGTGTGATTTTTTTCAATTGCAAAATGCCGGGAATGCCTTCTCTTCCCAATTATATATTGTTTATTTGGATTTATTATTTAGGAAAATGCTACGGTCCCAATACGGAGCTATTCCGTCAGGGTTTGTAACCGTTAGATCAACTATCCCCGACGGTTACACGATGATCTAACGGTTACAAACCCACGATGATCTAACGGTTACAAACCCCGTTCCGTAGCGGGACTGTAGCATCTCCCATTTATTTATTGGTGCTTCTGCACATCTTGCGAATGGGTATTGATTCTATTAGAAACTCAAACTTGGGAGCATGTAGTATCCGGAGGATATTTGTGGAGGAATTATTTAAACCCAAGCTGTGTTTTTTGTTCAATTTGGGATGTGAATTTTCGGTGAAAAGTACTTGTTAGCTTTTTGGTATTTAGGTTCCCTATTCATTGTAAAGAAGCATTCTTTTCTCTTGTTTCAGGTTAATAATCCACAATGGCTTTCTTGAGAAAAGCTGGGAGTATTTTCGGAAGGTGCCATGTCAGCACCCGGGACAGCACTCTTTCCAATCCTTCAATCTTTCAAGCCGTGAGATGGATGTCGTCTTGTAAGGTCTTTGTTGGAGGTGACATAACTATTTCTCAGCCCACTTGATTTTCAAATATGTTCGATTTCACCGTGTATGAATTTGTATTATGCTCCATTATTTTTCAATTTTTTGTTTTCTTTCATAGGAATCTCGTATAGCACAGATGACTCGAGTCTCAGAGAGGCTTTCAGCAAGCACGGAACAGTTGCCGAAGGTAATAAACAAACATGCTCTTGCTTAGCTTTTTGAAATTCTGCTGACTTATTAAGAAAACTCTCATACTGTTGTGGCTGCTGGGCACCAATGTACTTTGTTAATATTAATTGCATTAGCAGGTTGAACTGTAACTGGGACACGAGTGATCGTTTGTACATATTTTATGAGCATTTAGCTTTTTGTGTCTATAAATGTTTGTAATGATTTTGTATATCTTGCAGCACGGGTGATTGTGGATCGTGAAACGGGTAGGTCAAGAGGATATGCCTTTGTTACATTCTCTGAATCTAACGAGGCATCTGCAGCCATTCAGGCTATGGACCAACAGGTGCCTTTCTTTTTCCAAAAAAATAAAAAATAAAAAAATCATCTTTTGCAATTTCTATCAAGATTGTCTGGTAAGAAACAACTTATTTGGTTAGCTTATAAGCTTCTCGTATGCAAATAAGTTTGGTTTATGCTATGTTTGGAAGTCAAATAAACTAGTTTATACTTATGTGATGTGATTAGCTTATAAGCTTCGTCTATCCAAATAAGTTTCGTTTGGTAGGACGAGCTTTTTTAAAAAGCTCAAACTTATCTCAAAAGCTTATTCTGGGTAGCTTTTTAGATAAGCTCGTTGAAATTTTTATTTCAGCTAGCTCATCAGCTAATTTTACAAATAATTTTATTATATAAGATAGCTTTTCAGTAATAAGTATAAGCTATAAACTCGAAAAACCACTTATAAGCTAAACACTTCTATCTATCATATAAACTTCTATCTATCATATAAGTTAGTTTTTCAGCTACAAACCAAAAAATCACTTATCAGCTATAAGCTAGCTTATCAGCTAGTTTTATACATAGTCTTAATAACCTTAGTAGAATGAGCTTTTAAAAAAACTCGAGTTCATCTCATAAGCTTTCGTGGATAACTTTTCAAATAAGACTTAAGCTGCCAAACACTTCTATCATATTTTTA